TCTTGCTCAGGCTGGTTTCGAACTCCTGAGCTCAAACAATCCGCCCGCCTCGGCCTCCCAGAGAGCTAGGATTACAGGCGTGAGCCACCACGCCCGGCCTTAACATAATTCTTAAGGGCCCTAAGATTTTCAGATTGGAGAATGAACATTGGCTTCAACTTTGAAGTCACCAGCTGCATTAATCCCTAACAAGAAAGTCAGTCTGTTCTTTGAATCTTTGAAGCCAGGCATTGAGTTCTCTAGCTGTGAAAGTCCTAGATGCTATCTTCTTTCAATAGAAGACTTTTGTCTACATTGAAAAAATTGGCTGTTTAATGTAGCCACCTTCATCAATTGTCTTAGAACTTCTGGATAACTTGCTACAGCCTCTCCATCAGCATTTGCTGTTCCACCTTGCACTTCAATGTTATTCAGATGGCTTCTTTCCTTAAACCTCATGAACCAACCTCTGCTAGCTTCAGGCTTTTCTTCTGCAGCCTTCTCACCTCTCTTAGCCTTCATGGAATTGAAGAGAGTTAGGGCCTTGCTCTGGATTAGACTTTGATTTAAGGGAGTGTGGCTGGTCTGATCTACCCAGACCAATAAAACTTTCTCCATATCAGCAAGATGGCTGTTTTGCTTTTTAACCATTCTTGTGTTAACTGGAGTAGCATTTTTAATTTTCATTAAGAACTTTTCCTTTGCATTCACAACTTGTCTAACTGTTTGGCACAAGAGGCCTGACTTTTGGTCTGTCAGCTTTTGACATGACTTCCTCACTAAGCTTAATCATTTTTAGCTTTTAATTTAAAGTGAGAGATATGCAACTCTTCCTTTCACTTAGACACATACAAGCCATTGTAGGGCTATATATTGGCCTAATTTCAGTATTGTTGTATCTCAGGAAATAGGGAAGCCCAAGGAAAGGGAGAAGACAGGGGAATGGCCAGTGATAGAAAAGTCAGAACACACAACATTTTGTCAATTAAGTTGGCTATCTCATATGGGCATGGTTCATGGCACCCCAAAACAATTATAATGCTAACATCACAGGTCACCATAAGAGGTAAAATAATAACATTTGAAATATTGTGAGAATTACCAAAACGTGACACAGAAACAGGAAGTGTGCACATGCTGTTGGAAAAATGGCAACACAATGCAGGGTTGCCACAAACCTATTAATATTTGTTTAAAAAAATGCAATATCTGTGAAGTACAATAAAATGAAGTGCAATAAAATGAGATATGCCTATAATTCCTACCTAATAGAATTGTAACCCATAGAGTTGTAACTTAGCAGGTGAACCGCTTAGAACAGTGCTTGGCAAATATAAGAGCTTAATAAACTAACTGCTATTCTCTCTAGAGTGGAGCTCTTTGGTCTGCCACCCCTTTGTTAATTTGATAAGAGATAACAGATCTTCTCCCCAGAGAAATAGGCACACAAATGTGAATCTTGCATAAATGCAAATCATGGAGTTTCTTGAAAGCCCATCTGTGGATCCCAGGTTAAACTTTACAACAGCTTCTATTGAGAAAGAGGTAAGGCCATAGAAATTAGGTCCATAATGCACTAGAAATATTAATAGAAGCTATTCACTTAAAGCCTTTTCTGATTTTTTCCCATTAATAGTGTCTGGAAACTTGTTTCTGTTACTTTTGGAAAGTAGTAACAGGTGGTTAACACAAGCTCTGGAGTCTGACCACCTTGGCTCAGATTTTGGTTCAGTCATTTACTAGTTTCGTGACCTTGAGCATAATACTAAATTATAACTAAGGAGGTAAAAAACTATCCCTCACTGAACTGAACTTGATTTTTAACGGTAATCTCCCTCTTCAGGTTTCCAGTCTTATAATGACCATGATCTTTATTCCCTACAGCTGTACCTATTTTTCTTCCTTCCATTTTTTAAAAATTTCTACAGAAAATGATCAATTCTTCCTTCAGTTTTAATTCATCCTTTGTTTCCACACTTAAACTAGACCTTTCCATGTCACGTGTGGATTATGAATCTCCCTTTCACTTAAACATCTATGTCCCAGACATGCTATA